CCGAAATTTATGAAACACCCTTTATAATCAACAGATGTTTACTATACCATATGCCTTGCTGTAAATTAGTCATGATACGTTCAAGTTTTTCAAAATGATGTCCTACAAAAAAAAAAGGACTATGTTAAAATCAAAGTGTGTTTTAAACCAATGTACCATCATTTAACATCTGATAAACGATCAATTCCATATGTTTAATCAGGCGCATACAATAATCACTTTCAGATATAGGGCTAATATTTAATTCTATATGAAAAGAAAAGAATAGATATACTTCATTTTTGATGTTAAAGATAATTTTTTTTTTTGACAAACAGTCATCATATAAGACAATTACTTTCAAGCATGGAATTTAAATTGTTACGTTCACAAGTTTTATACATATGTTCAAATTCAAATCTCAAATCAAAATATGACCAATAATAACTTGGTAAACATGTGATTGACTTTTTTACACTTTCTGGATGAAGACATTGACGTAGATGAAGACAATTTTCACAAACTAGTGTCAATTTAATGCCAAGATCTGGATGTAAGCAATGCTCATGCAAGAATGAATCAAACTACGATACAAAAAAACACTAAGACATTCTATAAAATCATGGGACTAGATATAATTACTTTTCTCAATGCTTCATTGAGATCGAGTTCAGATGAAAATACAAGTTCTGCATCAATTCCACTTTTTTCTTTGTATTCATCATTAAGAACATCTACATATATAGGTCGCACATACTGACGATATAAAGCCACAGTCTATTTAAAGAAATATCAATTTTCTGACGATAAAATATTTGAGAAAAAAATCACTATCTAATAGACACACCTGTTTTTGATCGACATCAATAATCAAATGAATCATTTCAATAATTTCTTGTTCATCAGAACCCATATCTTCATCTAACATACCAGCCGTAATAACATAAAATAAGCATAGATATTGTTTATTATAATTCTCGGTATTCGTTTCGACATTCGCTTGTAGTACCACAGTTGTTGTTGATGACAATGAAGAAGATGATGACATCATTGAAGACAGCAACGCGACTGGCGAATAGGTGCGAACCCGTTTGCAGTTCGGGCTTAAAAGCGTCGTAAAAGTCAGATTCACAGGCACGAGAAAAAAACGAAGAAATAAAAGATATGATGATGGCGACGAAGAAATACAACGTTATTGGAAAATTGAAAAAAAATATAATCGATAGAACAACAAATGCTGACAATCAAAAAGAAAAAAGAGAGAAAGAAAAAGAGAAAAACTAATATACACATACACAACTGTGACATGACAAAAAAAACATAAAATAAAAGATGATAATTTGCTCTCTATTGCTTTATCATATATATTTTTTTCTACATTCAAATCCAAGAATAATAATCGAACAAATTAAAATAGCTTCTTTTTTTTTCTAATAATAAAATCCCAGCTGTTACTCGAGGTCATCGTTAGTGTTCAATTATATTTTTGCCTTTATTTGTTATATTCAAAGTCTAGTAGTCCATCATTGCATAATCAAATGATAGTCAATTTTACTCTCTTATATCTTCTTTTTTTTGTTCTTTTTTTACTTCGATTTTATCACTTCATGTCGTCTTCTGTTCAGAGTGGGTGGTATAGGGCGACAGATGGTCGTTGTGTGAATTTATTCACATTAGTAACAAACGAGAGTATGTACATGCATTCTTTCATTGCATATCATGGAAAAAATGAGATTGATATATCAACATATGTATATTTGACGTGAATTATGAAAATCATTCTTTCTTTTTCTCTTCAACTTAGCTATTCTATTTTGTCTAGTGAAAATTGTTAAAAAATAGAAGTGATATTAAGTGAATCGAAGGATTATGATACATGAAACAAGAAAAAAGAACGTTTTCATAAATCAAGGATATTGTTCGATGATTTTATTTTATTGTCATTTAGGTAGGTAGCAAAAGAAATAAATGTGTAACATCTTGTTGATGTTCAAGAATAATGTTTCAATTGTCAAATGATCGGTTTGATGATCAGATTTTCGTCTGTAGTGCTGATCTACAGTACGGTAAAATAAAACATTTCGACGTCTGTTTTTTAAGTTTCCCAAACGAGTGCTATAAAACTATTTTCAAATATCAGGAAATACCTTTGTACACTTAGAAAGACTAGCTTGTAGATTCACCAAAGTGTAGTTGAATTTCATGAAAACGACGGATCGATTTAAGTATTGACCGTTTGTTCGCGGATGGATCAATCCATAGTTGGCAATCGGTATGAGGCATGTGGATCTGCCTTATTTTTCTATTAAAAACACATTTACTCTTTCACAGAAATATTAATTTTCAGTCCTCAATAGAAAAACTGATAGGAAACAAGTGAAACTCGCAAAAGTTTCGATATTAAATGCATGAGCAGACTCTTACCCTAAACTTCTGTCAACAAAAACTTTATTTTAAAAATTAACAAATGACATATTATTCGATGCAAGTTCTCGTTCTGATTTAAGAGATGTCCTTATTTTTATCTCAAAGTACTTTTGAGACAAAACAACATGAAAAATATTCCGAACTCAAGTTTTCTTAGAAAATCGGCATTTCAGGTCAGAAGTATTTATGCATTTTTATGCTAATTGAGTAGATTTGTTGGAGATGACTCATGAAAGGACCAAGAAATCGAGGGATTTGTTAGGTTTTTAATTTTTTATGGGCATCTGAAAGACCATTATAGAAAACCTAATCTACTCAAATTCTTAACTCATTTGGATGTTCTATAATATAGTTAGCCTAACTCGACTTTTTAACACTACTTATCTGCTATCTAGAAAATACTGATGAATTGTTCCATAGATATTTGCTAGAATTATAGTTCAACAAATGGAAGAATTTTTTCATACATTATAACAAAAGATGGAGCATGAGAAAGCTGAACAAAGGGAGATATTTGAAATATACTTGTATACTATCTATCTCCTGGGGTTATATAATCTAATATGAGTGAGAAAAGTGACAATTTACGAATTCATACTGGTCAATGTTTGATAAAATATATCTGCTGATATTTTTTTAATCAAAAGACACGAAAGGGAATTTTTTTAATGTTAGGTAGCTTTTTATTCTGTATAAAATAGGAGAAAAAAAAAATAATCAAAAAAAGAAAGTTTACCCTCAGGACGAAACAAGGTTCACACCTCTTTCATATAGATTGATTTTTGATGATTTTTCAAAAGAAAAAAACATGTTTAGCAGTGCTCATTGCCATAACATGGTTTTACAGCAAAATGACTGTGACATTTGAAATCAGTGTCAAAAACTGCATTAGGACAAATATATTTTGAAGAAAATTTTCCCCTGTACACTGCTGTGTAGAAAAGAGGTGTGAAACCCCTTTTCGTCCTGAGGGTAAACTTTTCTTTTTTCAATATTTTCTTACTATTTATACAGAATAAAAAATTAGCTAATATAAAAAATTCCCTTTCATGTCTTTTGATTAAGAAAAAAACCAGCAGATATATTTTATCAAACAATGAACAGTATGGATTCGTAAATTATCACCTTTCTCACTCATATTAGACTATATAATCACAGAAAATAGACGATTTACAGCATATTACAAATACCTCATTTTGTTCAGTTTTTTATACTCTATCTATCTTGTGGTACATTGTATGAAAAAATTCTGTAACTTGTTAAACTGTAATGCTAGCAAATATTTATGGAATAATTCATTAGTATTTTCTAAATAGTAGATAAGTAGTACTAAAAAGTCGACTTAGGGTAAGTATACTGTAGAACATCCAAATGAGTTGAAAATTTGCTTTTGATGGAATGTAGATAGAAAGTCAAAAATTTAAATTCTGATCAATGCTTCGATTCCTTGATTTCCTCACCAATTGTCGCTTAAGAATCTGCACGATTTATTCTGTAGATCTTTTTACTTTCTATGGGAAGATGTACTTTCCTGTACCGTGACCAAAACTTGACCATTTTTTTGACCTTTGAAGAGCTAGAATACTTTTTTCAAATCAAAATCTCGATCATTGGCTACACTGTATTGGACATCATTCAAATTACAAAAGTTATAACTTTGATTTTTTCATCAAATGTCTTATACTACTGTAGTAACAGTTATGGTAATGCTGCTTGAAAGTATCCATCTAAGAAAGATTTTTGTCAGTGCCATCTGATATAAAATTACCAAGATCCAAGTTCTAATCGATGGTAATATATTCATCTGATAGATTAACATATAGATTTAAATTTATATTTATTTGAATGGAGGAAATAGTTGTAAAAAAGTTTCAGAATGAAAATTAGAATATAAGAATCAACTTCCAATACAAGTTCAAACATATTGACAACAGATACAACGAGCTAAGTACAAGTGACCACTGGTCAGTGTTATATATATCATTAAATGTATATTTTCTGAGTTACTTTATATTGATGACCAGCAATAAATGTTAAATAACATTAGTGATCAATAACAATGGAACAGCACAGATATTTCTCATTCTAGTTCCGGTCCTACCTTAGACCTCCTACAATAGAAGATCTCAAGTCTTCCATTATAACTCATTTTTTCATAGTTTTTAATTTAAAAGGTTTTTCAGAAAACCCAAACGATTTTGAGACTTTTGGAAAAGATGTTTTGAGAGTCCAAATGTCTGTATATGGATTTGATCAGAGTCTTTTAAGACTTTCAGCTCTAAATCTTGTACACTAGTCATATTTATATATAACTATACGAATTAAAGATTGAATTTTTCGAGAAACTAATCAATTAAAAGATGTGTTCTATTGCAAGAAAAAGAGCTTACAATAGAGCTACAACGATGACGATAACTAATCTATCGATAATCGATATAGAGGAGAAAATTTATCGTTATTCGATAGTTATTTAACCAAGTAACATGAATTTCTTGAAGTTTAATATTTCATCGAGAAAAGCCTATTTTTCAAAAACTATACTTTTTTATCAAGCTTAATTGAAGATTGTAAGGGTCGAGAAATCTGACTCCTTAACTGAATTCTCGCAATTTTCGAATTCGATTTTTCATGCAACGAACCTCAAACAAACGAATCGTCCACTACTTTCCATGTGTTCCAAATCGCACAAAAAAGGTATGTCGGTAAACCAACCGTACAACACTCGAGTATACTGCCGGATAACTGACAATATTTCTCGGTTACCGTTGATTGATCTCGATTGTACTCTGCTTTTTCTGTTTCATCCGTATTCTACGAGTGCCTTGGGCTTCTAGAGAGTTTTGCGAAGAAGAAACAGCGGAGACTTTGGACTGGAAGCCTCACGAATTCTCATGAAGTCATGTGAAATCTCGTCAAGTTTTATGAAATCTCATAAAATCTCCTGAAGTCTTGGAAAGTTACATAAAGTCTTGAAGTCCGCCGTATTCCTCTTGGAGCTATGTAGACTATCTTTAGTTTTGATAATATTGAATTAATTTCTTTTTTACAAATTTTACATTAAAAATGTCATTGGCAAATTGCACAGAACACTTTTAACAAGAAGACGCAACAAAAAAGCAAATTAAGCCACACCTTTTCAGTACGACTTTTCGCATCAAGTAATAAGTCTTTCGAATAAGAGTTACAAGAAAATGGATTGTAAGATAAGAAGAAAAACCATAAGCTATCACTTATCTCTATTCATACCCGTAAAAATAAAACAAATATGTTAGTTTTTCGTTTGTCACACGAAATCCTACAAACTGCTTAAGAATATTTTTTTTAAATACTAATTTGGTCAGTGAATGAAAACGCAAATACATATACTAATCATAATAGACATGAAGATTTTAAAAACTGATCTTTCTTTAATGACAATCATATTAATCAATACGGTTATCTATAGATTAGATCAAGCTTCAGGGCCATCGGTTCACTAGCTGTGCTGGCAAAATTTCAATAAGCCAGCGGAACTTACAAAAGTGATGACGTGAATTAATAACGTAACTACTTAGTAACGGTATTTTTCTTTCTTTATACCGAGTGAAGTGATGATTGTGAACTTTAGATAAGCTTATCTGTTACATATATCTCAATCAGTTTCTTGTAGATATACATAATGACATGAGGTATTCCCAAGTCGTCAGAAGGAGGAGAACGATGATTCCAGAGGTCAATGGAAAGACTCTGGCGATAAAGTGGACCGCAGCGTGGGGCGTGAGCTTGAACATATTCTTAGAAATCTGTGAGCAAAAAAATAATAAAACACTTGAATTCCACTGGAGAAAAATGAAAACTTTTCAAGATTGAGGTCACTCCTCAATTCTACTCTTGGTGCACTCCTGCACAAGGCCTATTTTCTGATAATACTCAATAGATTATTAATATTATTCATCTTGTTCTGAACTAATTATCAAAAAGTAGTGCCTATACTCTGCGCTAATTTTATTTTCTTTCAATTTTCTTCTTTATAAGTATCATTAGAATAGGGAATTACTACATCAGAAAAACGTTTTTAGTGTTCGGAAAAATATTCAATACTTTAGGAAAATCATCATGTTCAACGAATATTGACTCCTCTATTGTATGATAACTTATATATCAACTATAGTGACATAGATCTTGAGCGCATATACAACTGAACATTCTGTAGAAAGTAAAAAATGAAATCATCTTAAAAAATTACTTTATTAATGAGTATGGTCTATCATTAAAAAGTATGCAGTTACATGCTACAGAAGATCACTTAACCGGTCACTTGACTATGAGTTATTGTTAAAAAGTAAAGCTTCTATCATCAGTATAGTTCCATATAATACATCACAATAACAGGAAAAGTGATGATTCCTATTATTATGATTCGAACTTCTAAAGAGAGAAAATCTATATGACAAGCAAGAATTCTCAAAACATAAGAAAAGAAACTGGCACATACACTTCGAGATTTTTTGTTTCATTAGCTTATTATTATGAAAGCAGAGTCACTTACATGTAAAGTACCCAAGACAAAAACGTTTAGTATTTTCAAATTTTGAAAATGGAATATTCTTTTTCTTTGTATTGGAAATAAGTATGATTTTCGAAATCAGGATGTAAAAATGCATCGGAAACTCTATATTCCATTCCAAAATATCTCTGCTAGCCGTTTTGTGAATATTTTCTAGTATTCTGAAACTGGGTTGAGTATCCGGCACTCGAACCAGCAATTAATGCGTTCTCAGCGTTTCAAAATAGTTTTACTTTTTCAATCTTTTAAATTACAAAAAGAGTATTGAAGTGAAAATGGGTTCGATCATGATTTGTTACTATTTATGAAAGAAACTAAATAGTACATTTTTGCATTTAAAATAAAAGCTTGAAAGCTTGTGCCGGATGGGGATTAGTTCCGTTCCGGATCCGATTGCGAAAAACTCTACCTATACAAGACACTAGTATTTTACATGTAAGTGATTCTGCCCTAGAAATAATAATAAAGTTTTTACTAACATGAAAAATGTCCAATGTTTGGTTCGGTTATCTCATATCGTCACACCACTCACAACGAAAAAATAATTAAACAAGAGAAAAATTACTAGGAGGAATATCACTGATAAAAAAGGCACAATTTTCTTTTATAATCTCAAACAAATATGTTGACAATTTTGCAAGTATCTATATTTTGCTCATTGATTGATACACACATACGGACATATAAACACAATAATCACAAAGCAAGAGAATGGATCATATTTTTGAAAATAAAGGATGAGATCATAAATGCACACACACAAAAGCACTATCTACATTAAAAAAAAAGAAAAGGAAAAAAAAAAGAATAAGAAAATTTTAACAGTATTTGGCATTATGTGGTTGATAAAATTCATAACTAGTTGGATAATTTCCAACTGTTTTTTGCATATGTGAATAAGATCCATGTGTATGATAGGATAAATCTTGTTGAGTAGCTGATGCACAAGGATCCGATAATGATGTTGAAGGTATTTGATTAACCATATACTGCCTTGTTGTTGCTGGAAAATATGATTGTGTTGAATATGGCCAGTAACTATTTGATGTTGGAATAGATGATGAACCATAATCATTATTTGAAGCATACATATGTTGTGTATTATGATGATTACCATTTTGAACATGATAAAAATTTGTTTTATTATTAGCTATTGTTGATGAATTAACAGTTGAATCATATATTCCAACAGCTGTCATTGTATCAAAAAGATTAAAATTTGGTATTCTCATTGACGATGATGATGGTTTTGGGGATGATGATGAATGATTATATGTTGATACATGATCACCTGATTCACTGGCTTCAACGGGTTCTACTTTGGGAGTTGTATATCCACCGGCATGTTTCTACAATTTTATGTTACAGTAAAAAAGAAAAGAAAAACATTCATAATACTTTTTTTGGTGATTCTAAATAATCAGTCTCATCCGATGTTGTATCTTTTTCAATTTGATTACGTGTACGACTTAATTTTGTATCAATTGGATTAGTTGGACTAACTAAACTAGGTGAATTTCGATGTCCTTTTTGTCTTGAATTTTGCTGATGTCGATGATGATTATTTGATGATTCTTGTTTAAAACGACGACGTCGTCGTAAAAATGAGCCATTTTCAAACATATTATGTGAATCAGGATGAAGCATCCAATAAGACCCTTTACCTAATTTATAAAATAATCCTATATTGCAAACAAAATAAAAAAGCAAATATTTAAAATAAACCTGGTCGTTTATCATCTCTTGTAACTTTAACAAAGCAATCATTTAATGATAAATTATGTCGAATTGAATTTTGCCATCCTTGTTTATTTTCTCGGTAATACTATGTAGAAAAACAAAACAAGAATATAATCACGATTATAAAACTCTTTCTAATAAGATATTTATTTTCATTTCATATATATATTTTAGAACTTACTGGATAATGATCCATAATATATTGATAAATACCATTTAAAGTACATTTTTGACCTGGACTATTTTGAATAGCTGATGTTATTAATGCAATATAACTCATAGCTGGTTTAGCTAATTCTTTTGAATTAACCGTTGCCATTGCATAAGAATAAGCAGCCGCTGATGGACGTGATAGTAAATGATATGCAGCTGCATCTGTATAACCGGAATATGGATTCGCTTGATGAACATTATAGGATGGTACTGATGTGGATGTTGTTTGCATTAATCGATTTGTGGTTGGTCCATAATAAGCAGCAGCAGCAACGGCTGCTGCACTAGTTGAATCATAATAATTTGGAAAATTTGTTGATGTTAAATTATTATTTGTTGATGAAGTAATCGGTGGTGATGTTGAATTTGTCATCTCTTTTTTTTCGTTTTGTATTTTGTTTTATTGTTTAATGAGAGAAACAAACAGGAAAGAATTAAAATATTAATTGATTATCACAGTGATTATTTTAATAACAAAAAAAAAAGAAAAAAAACAATAACATCAATACTATAAGCCAAATAAAACAAACAAGGGTCTAGTCGGTGTATAACATTAAAAAAAAAGAAATCAACTGGGGGATAGACGAATGTATGTTTTTCGTAATAATAAACAGAAATTACGATTTGATCGACTGTTTTTATTACTTTTTCTCTCTCTCTCTTTCTATTGCTTTTTCTCCACAGCCTTGGACACGAAGATTTTTTTTTCTTGATTAAATAAATACAAGTTCTTCCCGATAATCAAGAATAATATAACAAGCGCAAAGAGACTGCTACTAACATATGCTTACTCATCAAGCAATTTTTTTTCTTTCATCATTATAAGAATAACAAATCCAGTCGAGTTTTTCTTCGCTCTCTTGTTGTACTCCTTTTCTGCTGCCAATCGTTATTGCCGATGACATTCTTTTTTCTGTTACACGAATCAGAATTTTTGACCAATCAAAACGATTTCTCTTTTTATATCGTTCGTCGTCCAGGAGAAAGAATGTTGTTGCTATTACACATTTGACAAGTCGTGCCTGTTCTACTAGAGCAAAAAAGAAAAAAAAAACTAAAACTAAAAAAAAGCAACATGATTTATTGATAAGTTAATTAAAATCAAGATAAAGACACTTTTTCATTGATATGATAATTATAAATTACATTATCAATGGACTTCTGCTGCTAAACAATGGTACATTTAGGATTTTGTGAAAGAGAGACAATCATAGTCACAAAGTCTGTTTTCCAGTTCATTACACAGCGAATTGCTGATTTTTTTCTGAGAAAAATGTTTCGGAGAGAAAAAGTGATCGCATCTCTCTAAATTCACTACGTTTTTTAAGCATTTGAATGTTAAGAATGATGTTTATTGAATGAGAAAAGACTGTTTTTACCAGTTAGTATCAATCTGAAAAATAAAACGATCTTTGACACATGTCGATAATCCATTCTTTAGGCGCCGCATAATCAAACTTTGATTTTGCCTATTGGATATAATTAGTGTCGGGTTAAGTTCGTCATGCGGTCATTTAAGATCAGTGACGTCGTTGAAATAATATTTGTATAAACACATAGCCATCGTCAATCAACACAAGGTGTTCATCTGTTTTTTTTTCTATTTTTGTTGTAGTGATTTATATATAAAAGGTTTCGTTTGTTAGCTGGAAGGTATAAAAATGTAGAATGAAATAAATCAAATAACACGAGCCGCAGTTTTTTTTCTTCATTCCAGAAAATAAACTTGTGATCATTGATATATTCACTTACGAATTGATGGATTGATTGATTTGTGATTTTGGATGAACAGCATTATGGTTATATTAAAGAACAGTGAATCTGTTGTTAGTTACATGCCTATCTTCATCTTATACTTTTCCTTTCTGCATCTTTCATGATCGTTTCTTTTGTATCCTAATGGATTAGTTTTTTTTCATGATCAAAGCATATATTTATACAGATTTGTAACATAAATACACATTCATCGACGAGGTCTCATAACAAACTTTGTTATCCTAGCCTCTCTTCTTTGTTTTTTTCTCTTAAGCACTCAGAACGATTGCAAAATGTTTTTTCTCCTCATGTAGAAATATATATATATATATATACTCATAAGTACTCACAATCATTCGTATTAGTTTCTATTAATAAAAATTGAAATGAATATTTAATTCACTCATCATCCGGTAAAACATTATGTTTGATCATCTCATACGAATGAACCGAACAACATTCACATATGGTAGTTAATGTTAAGAAAACAATTAATTTGGCTCAATCTTGATTACTTTTGATATCTGTTGTAAGTCTATATAAACATAAATAAAAAAAAAGGAATTCTCTAATGGAAATTACAGATGTGTTAAGTCTTTTTTTTTCTTTTTTTTTTTTTTGAATAAAATCTTCTATAAAAATCATTAAGTTGTAAAAACTAATATTGCCTGAAGACAAAAAATATTATCCATGACTTATTTCAAATATACATTCGGAATTAGATATATATGTATATATAATCGTGATCTAGGTGAAAATATGCAGTTGATAGTTAAAATTCATCGTTTGAAAAATGTACTTGACTTTTTCGATTAACTATGTGCAAATCAAATAGCAACAAAAATAACAGTTGAAATATTTGTTTTAATCAGTCTAACTTTAAATATGATTTCTTATATAAGCAATAAGAATGAATATTAAATGAAGATAGTCAAATATATGTTTTGTGTTAGTCTTAATAAAACTTTGTAATTAAGTAGGTTCTTCTTCTGTTGTTTTTTTGTTTTCCATTCATGAGAATTGAACACAACTGTTTGATTGATGAGACAAAGTTAGATATGATTAGTATGTTGTTTTTTTTTCTCTTCGTCCCACTGTTCCTCCCATCAATTTTTATCGGTTAAAGACTAATGGTTGTTGATTCAAGGCAACAACTGATTGACCCTCGGGTATTGCACATATATTTTTCTTTTCTATAGACCTAAAAATATATAGAATTGAGTGTAATGCACTATTCTCAAAAGTACGATTCTTTTTTTTTTCGATTGTTTGCGAAGAACTTGAAATTGAATGAACAGAAGTTCCACACTTCTCACAGTGATGAAATCTCAAAAAAGAACAACATAAATTTCTATTCGTTCGTTTCTTATGCTTGTTTGAATTGAGTAAGGCGGAGAAATTGTCAGGAGAGAATAAGAGAATGTTTGTTTAACTTGTTCCATTACTATAGAAAGAACGAAATGCATTCATTCGATGAACAGGAAAATTGGCTAAACTAATTTGAATAAACATACGCTAGAAAAGATAAGTACAAGCATAAATCGTATCTCAATGCCTAAAGCTAGTTATCAATTGAATAATACAGAAAATAAAATGAAATACTATCGAAAACAGAGGAAATATGTTTCGTTTTACTCATTATTCAGAATTTCAATCGTCTAATGCTTTATATTGAAATTCGAATCAGAAGTATATATTCGATTTAGAAGATGGATATACATTGAATAGGATTTTTCCTTTTCACTTAAGCCGATGACATTCGACTGTCTAATGTTTGATCAGGTTGATGTCTATGCTTGTGGCAATGAAATGTCTAATGCATGTTAATCGTCATGCTGTGCTATTGATTCTATTAGTATTGCACACTTCTTCTATGCATTGAAAATAAAATGATCAAGTTACATATTCTATGCATAGCATGAAACGTTTCTGTGTCAATATTTTAACTTTATTTTTTCAGCTGTATCAAATCTTTATGAAAAAATTTATTTATTGTTTTGTTTTATTTTTAAGATGGAAAAATTTGTTTTAACAAATTTTCAGTAAGTCCAGTGGATTGTTGTTGTTGTTCTTTCTTTTTAGTTTTACGTCGTTTAGCAGCTTCATGTGGATCTTGTTGATCATAATGCCATTCACGAATATTTAAATCTTCTGATGATGTTTTCATTTTTTTTTCAAGTTTACGTAATTTACGACCTTTTTCAACATTTTCAATGTACAAATTTGCTTCACGTTTAGCTTGAAGTACTTCTTGTCGTAATCGTTTTTTTCGTACTTCATTTTCATATTGAAATCGTTCATGAAGATGAGCCCAACGAAATTTCGATAGATATCTAATTGATAATACATTAAAATAAACGAACAATAAATAAATATTTAACTTACTTTATATTCCAGATGTCATCATACCATGGTGTTCGTCTCCGTCCACCAACTTGTTGATTATTAAGTTGTTTGGCTATAAGTTTAGCATCACGTTTGAATTTAAATTCAACCCAACCTTCAGTATATTTTGGTCCACGTTCACGTTTATTTTTATCTTCATTTTCTTTATAAAAAAAAAAAGAGACACAATAATTATTACCGAAGAAAAATAGATTTAAAAGAAATTTTTAATAAATTAAAATTTCAAGTTTTATTATAGAAAAAGAAATAGTCTTTCACGTTCGGTAGAATCAATAAAAGATCAAAACGAAATAAAAATGTACACTTAAATAAACCTTGTGAGTATTACGTAAGTCAATATTCTCGTATTACGCTCTTATTACTATGAAACACTTCTATAAATCACACTTTTTGGTTCTTCAAGATGGTTAGAGAGATTCTCAGTTCATATTCAAAATGCATAAAAAATTAAAATAATATCAATTCAATCAGCATGAAATACCTTGAATACTATAGGCGGCGCAAAGTTGTAATTCTAACATATTTTTATAAGATCTTCATGTGGAAAATAAAATAAGAGAACATTAAGTTTTTGTATGTCATTTAGATGAAATATAGTTAATGCTTCTTCTTTTTAGAACTCATATCTTAAAGAAACATGAATGTGTTTATGTTCATTGAAATATAATTTTCAAAAGAAGAGTTTTCTGATTTACTGTACTGAAAAAAAAACATTTTTAATATACGTATATACTAATTGTCAAAGATCCTCAATTTAAGTAACTGTCGATGTACGATCCAATATTACCTCAACACTTTCTTTAATTCTGTTTAATTATAAACACTGTTCTTATCAGTCGGTGAAGACGACAAAAACTATTGATGTTTGTATCAAAATTGTGACTTACTATTCAAATCTATCAATCTTGTGCAAAAAAGGATTTTTTGAGCCTATGCCAAATTCACGAAGTATGAGTCTTCGGGAGATTTTGCTTTCTTTAGAACTTTGTAGAGCTCATTGAACTGTCCCATTTGAGAAAGAATATTCAAGTTTACTCAATAAATCGTGGTGTTAGGATCAAAATATTCAAAAACATCGGCTATTCTTGACTACTACTAAGCGGTCGTTGTCGTTTGCGAGTATTTTCACTCTAGCACTATGATATATTGAGTAAATTGGAATTTTTTTTAATCAAAATAATCAGCGCAACAAGTGCTACACATTAAGAAATC